GTTGACTCTTGAAGTAGTTAGTATTCCCCGGACAAGAAGACAGACAAAAAGGATGAAAAGAATATGGCATACTTCAGAGTTTCCAGTTGACATTGTCCTACCCAAGGGTTGCTCCTTTGTGTCTGCTGGAAGAAATACAATGGGCCATAGAACTTTCTCTTCACCTCTTCCCATTCTCTTAAGCTCTTAGCATCTATTTCCCCCAACTTACCTTTAGGATTCATTTTATTTCTGGCCCAATTATATACAATAATTTCCTTAACACATGATTACTTTAACAGTATTTTAGTAATAATTTTCCCTCTTTCTCGTAATTCCTTCAAATAACAATCTTGAAAGCATACTACTATAACTACTTCTAATAATAATCTGGAAAGCACACTTTCCAGTTCAGGTAAGTAGCATTCCAAGTGATTGCTCAATGCCTTACCCCAAAGCGGGTCCTTCAAACCCACTACAAGGCCAGAGCTCACTCTGGAGTGTTCTGTACCTTACACATCTTGGAATCCCTGGTGCTTTTCACACAGTGGGTGCTCAAAACTGTTGAACTATACTGTGAACTGTTGGAAGAATGTTCCTCTCAGATCCGCACCATCACACACACACGGACATTCTGCACCTGGTCAGCAGTCTAGCGGTTGGTCCCTCACTACTGCAGGTAATAATGGCAGTTTCCTGACCAAATGACGAAGCCAGTGCCTCTTCTAAACCGCTCCATTTTCCATTGTGCTTAGGATAGTTGGCACTGTCTCCTCACTGCTCTGATACCGTCTCACCTTCCCCTGCTCCTCACTCCATGCATTTCATCTTAGGGACTGTGTGCGCATGCGTGCGTGCATGCGTGTGTGTGTGTGTGTGTGTGTGTGTGTGTGTGTGTGTGTGTGTTTGTGTACATGTCACAAGAAATTACCATGGAAGGCAGCACATCTTATGGCAAATATTCTACATAAAATATGCTGAAAATTAATTATTTGTTTAGTGCTTATGTGCCTGTCGCCATGTGAGTTAGTTGCTTTCTATGTATGATTTTATTTAATGCTTGAAGAAGCCCTAAGAGGATGTTATTTTCCTCATTTGAGAACTTGAAAAACCAAGGGTCAGAGATAGTAAGCACTTCAGTCCAGATAAAGTAACTAGTAACTGCCCGACTTGGTTTCTGAACCACAGTGAGCAGTTCAGTGTCAAGGCCCTTGCTCCACTGTCTCCCAGGAGAATATTTTTACCTTAGGGAAGAATATCTAATGTATTATAGATACATTATTATAGAAAAATATCTAATGTATTATAATTTTGTTCTATTTTTTCTAACCATCTCTAGTATCAAAGGAAAAAGTTTTTCATTATGTATTTTTCCTTTTTATAAAAATAGTATTTGTTCACAGAAAAACATTTAGAAAATACAGAGAAGCAGAAAGAAGAAAAAAAAAATCACTTGCAATTCGCCACTCAGATACAACATACCTGAATGTTGGTATGGCTCTTTGGCAATGTTTTTAATTGAAACACTTTTTATGGGTTCATATTGTATAAAGAGTTAAAAGTAGAAACATAGCTTTTATGCCATTTGTCTTCGTCCATTCAGGCAGTTATAACAAAGTATCATAAACTATGTGGCTTATAAACCACAGAAATGTATTTCTTGTAGTTCTGGGCACTGGGAAGTTCAAGATCAAGGTGCTGGCAGATACAGTGTCTGGTGAGGGCTGGAGTTTTTGTTCATACATGTTAGCTTCTTGTTGTGTCCACATGCGGTGGAAGAGCTAGCTGGCTCTCTGGAGTCTTTTTTATAAGGGCACTAATCTCATTCATGAGGGCTCAGTCTTCATGACTTAATCACTTCCTAAAAACCCCATCTCCTAATACCTTTGGAGTTAGGATTTCAACACATGAATTTTGGGGCAATGCAAATATTTGGACCATAGTACCAATAAATGATTCCACAGCAATCACTTGTATAACTATGCCATAATTTAACCAGTACCACATGGTTGGCATGAAGTTTGTTTCTTTTTATGAATGTTAATAATATTGGGATAGACATCTCTGTAACTGTATCTGTACATTCTAATATTTTATGAAAGGCAAGAAATATTGTTTGCTTAATTTATGAGTGTTAAAAACTGTTTGCCCAAAAGTATGAAATTGAAAAAGAAACAAAACAACTTTGCTCTAAATCATTAGTTGACTGACAGAGGCAGGTACTAAATATTTTAGGCTTTGTGGGCCATATGGTTTCTGTCCAAAGTACTCAGCTCTGCCATCATAGCACAAAAGCAGCCATGGACAATCCATAAATGAATCAGCATGGCCATGTTTCAATAAAATTTTATTTATAGACACTGAAATGTGATTCTCATATAATTGTCATGTGTCATAAATCAGTCTTCTTCTTTTGATTTTTTTCTAATTATTTAGAAATGTGAAAACTACCCTTTGTCTGTATGCCATACAAAGCAAGTGACTAGCCCTCTCTTGCTCCAAATCATCCATTCATCCTTAGAGACATAAGTCTACATCTATTTCTAGCCACAAACTTACAGAATTGTGAGAATTCTCTTTCCAACCCTTCCTTCTCCTGGATTTACACACACACACACACACACACACACACACACACACACACACACACA